GGGGGGGGGGTTGAGGGTGGGATGGATGGCTGTCCGTGTCGTGTGTGTGCAGATTTGGCATTACGCATGTTGACTTCAAAGACCCCGACAGGAAGAGAACACTCAAGGAATCGGCGAAATTCCTGGGGTGAGTGCGGTGGGACAATGAGTGTGCGCAGGACGTCTACACCCCTCTCTCTCTCTCTGTGTGTGTGTGTGTGTGTGTGTACAGTGCTCTGATAACATCTGTGAGGAACGAGGTGAAGTACTGTCTGACTGATGAGGCGACCGATGACCAGGGAGCGGCGGCCAAGGCATGATGGACAGAGGAGGGGAGTGAGGGGCGAGAGGGGGGAGACAGACAGACAGACATCCGGGTGTCTGTTTACGTGGGCGGCCCGTGTGTGTAAATAGTGGATGTCGGTGTATTTGGTTGACGTCTAGGTAGGTGTTGTGTGTTCCCTGTGTGTGTGTGTGTGTTGCGTCCCTGTGCACAATAGTATAATTCGTTTGCAATTCGTGTGTGTGAGTTCAGGACGGAGGTAGAACGAACTGTAGCCGTCGTCTGTGTGCCCATAGTGAATGGAGTGAATGAGAGTCCACCCACGATCGGCGCGAGCAATGCAAGCCAGAAACACAATCGCGACACAACCGACCGACAACCGAAGGAGGTCTTTCCTCCGTCTTGCGTGTTAGATGTGTGTCTGTTTGTTTGTCCATGCTGATGGCCACCCCACGCAGCGAGTGATGACGCTCACCCACCGTGCGGCATCACCATCGTCAAAGACAGCCACCACATCACACCACACAAGCCAAATCAACATCAGGAACACTTTAGGCCTCCCTCTGTCACGAGACATATCAACATCTTATCACATAGGTGGGTGATTCAGGGCCGGATGCATCGCGCCGTGCGATTCCTTCCGGCTCGCCAGTGCCGCCGTGGTCAGCCACGCACCTCACCCGCAACGAACGCATTGCCCGCTCGCAACGCAGTCATGACGGATGCAGTGTGTGATCAACTACGACGGCACGGAGGAACCAGGAAGAAACAAGCAGGCCTTATCTCGCACTCGCAATAGAACAGCACGAGACACCGACAGACAGGCTCTCCGTCTCATCCTTAGAGTCCGGATGCGGTCGGCTGTTTCTTCAGTGTGGTAACGTAGGCCAAGTGGTCGCGCATCCGCTGCACGTTCTCACACCGCACCCGCACATCCTCCACCAAATCAGTGAACACATCGAACCTGACACACACACACACACCGACAGACACACTTGGATCTGGATGCACCTCACCGGTCTGGCTGGTCTGACTGACCTTTTGATGGTGATTTTGTTCTCGACGGCTTCTCGGATGGCTGGCGGCTGCACCCCGACTTGGAAGGCGTAGACGGGGCAGTAGCCGTAGTTGCGCTCGACGTCGGCGTGGGTGATGTCGCCCTTGACCACCGTTCCCACACCGCCGTGCACTATTGGAATGCGCATGGCGTACTCGCGCTGAGACCACACACACACACGCGTGTCGTGAGCCTCTGTGGTGTGTTTATGTGTGTGTTGTGCGGACCTGCAATTGCTCGAATGTGTCCATGAAGACGTCAAAGGTGGACATGCTGTCGGTCTTGAGGATGACCGGCACCACCGGCGAGTTGACCGTCGGAATCGCAAAGGGCTCCTCGCCCTCCTCGCCCTCCCACCCCTCACCATCACCATCACCCCCGCCGTCGTTGCTGCCCTTGCTGCGACGGCCGTCTGCCCTGGCCAGCTCGTCCATGAGGATGGATTTCTCCTCTGGCTGGGCGAGGGGCGGCTCCCCGCGTCCCTTGCGGCGGAAGTTCTCGGTGGCGATCTGCAGCTGCACCTCGCGGAACACCGCACGCTGCTTCTCAAGTTTCTACAACCGAGACAGAGACAGAGAGAGACAGAGACAGAGCGTGGGCGATGCATTGATTGACACCAACCTACCTACCTGGTCCCTGTTGCGCCGTCTCCACCTCTCCCTGAGCCGTTCGTTGTACAGCTCGGCCTCCTCGTGCCAGGTCTCACGGTCGGCATAGTACACCCATGGCACACCCAGCCGGTCGCCGCTCACACCCGCCGATGGTCCCGATGATCCCGATGATCCCGATGGGTTTGGCTGCCCCTCCGCCTCAGCTTTCGAGAAATCGGCCTCGTTGGCGCGCCGCTCGTCGTCGAGGAAGGTGCGGTACCTTGAGTAGAGGGCCTCGTCGTCGCCCTCGTCGAAGTAGTAGTGGTCCGTAAAGACCTTCTGAGCCTTCAGATCGGCGTCGGCATCATCCTGCTCGCGGTCATCGTCACCTTTTGTTTGCTCCTGTTGGTCTTGGTGTGGTGGTGGTGGTGGTGGTGGGACGTAGAAGGGCGGGTCTGATGCACGCGATGTCGTTGTTGTTGCTGCTGCTGCTGCTCGTCGTCTGGACCTGCGGCCGACGGATGCCGGTGGGGGCGGGGGCGGGTCGGGGGGATCGATCTCGCCGGCTGGCGGGATATGGATGGATCCAATTCGGGTAGTGGTGGCGGCGGATGTTGAGAGACTGCACACACGCACAGATTGATGAGATGAATGAATCGCTTGCTGGGTCAGTGCAGTGCACCCGCTCTCTCCTTAAGGTACCTGTGCAGCTCCTCAGTGGACATGTATTGGTCGTCCCTCCCCCTCGGGCCCTTGTCGGCCCCCCTGCGTATCACCTCGAGACCCTCCAGTTCCTCCTCCTCCCAGCCCCCCTCGTCCCCAGCTGCTGCGTCGTCCCCATCCGCCTCGCCCTTCCTCTTGATGGCTGCCTTCATCTCGGCATCAAAGCCGATGGTGGCGTCCAGGGGCGACTCGAACTCGTCACGCGTGGCCGTCGAGAAGATGCCGCCCACACCTACACGTCAATGTGAGCGGTCAGGAAGAGGGAGGGATGGAGGGAGGGTGGGTGGATGGTTGTGTGTGTGGTGGTGTGTACCAGGGGCATGTCCGTATTCCTCGATAGCTCTCCGCAGTTTGTGCGATGTCTTCCGATTCTCCATTCCCATGCTCACCTGTTCCCTGGTGTTATCGAGGGGGCTGTCCGACTGGAAGGGCATGGGCATCGGCGGCCCCCTCACCTGCACAGCCTGGGTCGCCTCAAGACGCTCACGATACTCAAACAAACGCCATGCCCTGACCAAACAGATACACAGACAGACCTCACTCTTGTGTGTATGTGTGTGTGTGTGTGTGTGTGTCGGGAGTGAGAGGGCCGGCCTGCCTGAGGTCTGGCAGCGTCATGAGTATGTCGTCGGGGGCACAGTCGCCGCCGAATGTCTTCATCTTGATGCCCTTGACACGCGCAGCCACGCCCACACCGGCGACCCTGACAGACACATTTATTGAAAGATAGAGACATCGATCCACACAGCCACACCAACCACACGTGCAGGCGTCGCCACGACGCCCCGCCTCGCCCTGCCTCGCTGTTGCTGACTCATGACTCACTCGAGTGTGTCGAGTGTGCGGCCGAGGTCGTCTGTCTTGAGTTCGGCCACTTTGCCGATGGCCGACCCACACACAAACCAGTGCCCAACTTGCACCCGACCGTGGCGAACCAACACCGTCAGGATCACTCCCCTGCACACAAAGAGCATAGCATCAAGCGTGGTAGGGTGTGGTGTGTGGTTTGGTGTGGGGTGGGTCGTGATATGATTACTCAGGGTCGGTCTTTGTGACGTCTACGACGACCCCGACACCGTATGGCAGCACATGGGAGTCGATCAGGGAGAAGGTGCGCCGCCGGAACTTGGAGGCTATGCGGCTGCCGACTGACGTCACGTCACACAGCACAGCACAGACACACAAGTGAGAGGAGGGAGGGAGGGGAAGGGGGCAGGGCTTGGCTTGGCTGAGCTGACTGGCTGACCTACCTGGAGTGGTGCAGAGTGAGTTGACTGGGTTTACAGGAAGGGACAGGCCTGCCAGCCGGGCACTCAATGCCGCCAACAAATCCTGCACACACACACAGATCGATAAACACAGAGTCGCTCGCAAGCGGCACACTCTCTCTCTCTCTCTCTTTCTCTCTCTGTGTGTGTGTGTCTCTCTCCCTATGTGTGTGGTTGTTAACTCATCCATCCATCCATCGCACACACACGCAAGGACGGACGCACCTGTATGCCCTTCCCCGTGAGTGCCGATATGGGGACGGCCTCCCCCACCTCAGCGGAAAAGTCACGGGACACCGCACCGCCCTCATGCAACTCCTACACACACACACACACACACTTGCAATTCTGTGTGCCTGCACTGCATTCATTGTGCCTGGGAGGGTGCAGGCAGGTCTTATTTACAGAGCATTGTCTCCGGAGCTCGGCCTTGACCAGCTCGACGTTGGTGAGCGGCAGGTCGATCTTGTTCAACGCAAACACAACCGGCACCTACAAAGCACAAACAAAGAGAGAGAGCGACAACCACATAAATAAAGTTCCTTCCTCTCTCTCTGTCTCTCTGTGCAGCGCGACATGCGGAGGCATACACACACACCCACTTTGAATCTGTCGGCCTGTGTGATGATCTCGCGCGTCTGCACCTCAGCCCCCCTCTCCACCGACACCACCAGCAGCGCCACGTCGGCCGTGGCCGTGGCCTGCCCACGCATTATCTCAAACACCTCGTGGCCCGGCGTGTCCAGAAATGTCAGCCTGTGGGTCGTCTGTTGCTGCTGCTGCTGCTGCTGCTCGTCGGTGAGGGTCACGGGCATGGGCATGGTGGTGGCTCGGATGCGCTGCGTGATGCTGCCTGGCTCGTGGGCGGCCGCACAAGTGCCTGGCATGCCACACACAGATACAGACACACACACGTAGAATGATGCGTTGAAGTGTTTGTGTTGCCTTCGAGGAGTGTGCTGCCAGCCACTTACCTTGTATGGTGTCGATGAGTGTGGTCTTGCCGTGGTTGATGTGTCCGAGCACGGCCACCACAGGGATGGCCTTCTCCGACTGGGGGAAGTCGTCACGCGTCTACAGCACAGCACACAGCACACAGACCAAGTCACGTCACGTCCGTCGTGTCAGTCAACTTGAGGCATCCGAGCTGTGTGTTGGTGTGTGTCAGCTGTGTGTGCACACTGTGGGATACATACCCAGTAAGGTTCGGGGTCGACCTTCCTCGGCCTGAAGTTGAACATCTCTGCCGCGTGCGCCGCCAACTCATACGGCACCGCCACCTTGGCCTTGCTCCTGCACACACACGACAGATAGGTACCCCATTGCATGCCAGTGGACAGCCTCCACCACAGCTCAGCTTTGCTGCTTTGCTCACTCACACGGTCTCCCACTGCCTCCCCTGTGTGTCGTTCCAGAGGTATCGCCTTTGCACCAGCCGAACATTGCATGCCTTCATCATGCTGGCGGGCTCCATCTGCACCATGCGGCGCAGCTCCTTGACGTGCACATAGGGCGGCAGGAGCAGCAGCCGGCTCCTCTCGCGATGCCCGCCCTTGACGTTGTCCACCCACTGCTCGCGCCCTATCATCCGCCACTTCTTGCCAAACAACACACGGCTGGGCCTCAGCATGATTCTGAGCACAGATCTATCGGGTTCAGGATCTATTCTTTCGACATCAGGAAGGGACTCTTGCGTCGGAAGAAGGCCTCCTCTCGGACCTGCGAGCTCAGCCCCATCTGGACACCACAAGCTCGCAAAATTGGATGCGCAGTTTTTTGGTGACCGTCTTCAGCAGGAGACTGTCTGCCTGACGGAGAGCCTCGAAGTTCTTCATCTTGATAGCCTTTTGCTTTCGTCCCATTCGTTTTGACGACTCGGCGATGTCCGGCCCTCCCCCGCCCCCGTCAGGGCCGCCAAAGGGATCAGGGTGACCATGCCACACACTCACGCACACTCCCAAGGCCTTGTGTCACTTCTTTGGCCTGTCCGTGTGTCTGTGTGTCTGCGTGCCTGTCAGCAGGGATGGCGTGAAGCCCGCGATTTGGACGCCGTCTGGGCAGGTGCCCGTGACGACGAGGGAGACCACTCGGCGGACGCAGCGGGAGTCCACGCGGCAGGAGATATTTCGGAAGCTCACCCACGACTACAGGCGGGAACCTGGTGAGGGAGGGACTCAAGAATGACTGAAGAGTGACTCGCGAGACAACTCTCTGTCGCCTGGATGGCCACCTCTCCCTCCCCCTCCCTCTCTCTCTATGTGTGTGTGTGCAGGCGGGCTAGACCCCAATGACGTGTCGATGACCCTCGAGGAAGGTACCTAGGGAGACGGGGGCGGCTGGGGGCGTGAGGCGTCAAATGAGTTTCCGCCTTTGTGCTGAGTGCGTGGCTGCGTGTCTGCAGAGACCAACCGGCTGTTCCCCGAGGCCACGGACGCCAAGACCTACCGGAGAAAGATCGTGGAGGTGCTGCAGAAAATCAACGTACGAAAGGCTCTGTGTGCGTGAACACACAACCCGGCTGAAGTAGCACATGTGCAGGGATCTCTCTCTCTCTCTCTCTCTCCCTCCGGGCGTGTGTGTGATGGCCTGCCTGCAGGGCCACAAGAACCTGAACGTTCGTCGACACCTGATGGCCGGCACACTCGACGCCAACACGCTCATCACGTCCAAGGACTCGGTGAGCAGCGGGCGGGCGATTGAGTCTCTCCCACTAGTGACACTCATTCACCCCTCTGTCGTATGTGTGTATGTGTATGTGTGTGGCTGCTCGCAGGACTTGAGTCGGTGGCGCAGCGAGCCGCCCCCCACAGGCAGTGCCCTGCGCGAGAGGGGCGAGTCGACTCTCTCACCGAAGGCGCCCCTACAGACCACTATGACGTCCACGCAGCCAGGCGCCTCCTCAGGTGCGCCAGCACGATGATGCCATCCAGCGATCGATTCAGTCACTGCATGAGGTAGTTTCTTTGTTTCTCTCTGTGTGTGTGCCTGCAGGTGGCGGGACCCCTGAGAGCCCGACGGTATCGCAGGGCAACGGGACGCCCAGCACGGCGGCCAACATGATCCCCCCGACCCACCTCAGGCCGCGCGCAGACGGGGTGCAGTCACACTCCACCGTCATTCAGCCGCCCGGTGAGTGAGCAAATGGGCAGGCATCTCACGCACACACACCCTTGACACACACACAAACCCTTCTCTCTCAGACAAAGCCGCCAACCCCCGTGTGTCGCTGCCCGAGAGCGAGTCGATGCCCACCTCCCCACAGATCAACATGGCCAAGCGCGACTCCATCACCATGAAGTCTGTCGGCATCATGTCGCCGTCCAAGGCCCCGTTCCCCGTCCCCGCCCCGCCCACCAACCCACACGCACACCGCCTCAGCATCAGCAGCCCCTCCATCAGAGACGCCCTCGCGGGCAGCGGGTTCGGAGGCGTCGGGCCGCTCTTGGCCAGTGCTGGTGCCGTTCCTGGTGGGCGCATTGACGAGAGCGACCCCGAGACACAGGCCGACAGGAAGGTGCGTCTCTGTGTGCGTGTGCGTGTGGCGTGCGTGACCGAGGCAACATCGGTGTGTGTGTGTGTGTTGTGTGTGCAGGTGTCGACACCGCCCCCTCCGTCGTATCCTGCTGCCTTTCACAACCAGCACCAGCAGTATCAGCAGCAACAGCAGCCGTATGGGTTTGCGACGACGGAGAAGTCTGTGAGCGCCGGCAGCTCGCCGCTGCCCAAGAGCGACGACAGGGATGAGTACACTGACGAAGAGGGGGGCGCTGGGGGAGCAGGTACAAACACACAACTCGACACACCAACACCCCACATGTCGTTCGCCCGTTCGTTCCTTCGTGTGTTGTGTTCGTGCAGTATACCACCCGGACCTCCAGCCGGACATGGTGCCCGACCAGGCCCCATCCCGTTCGCAGCCCACCCCGCCCAGCAGCACACAGCAAGAAGACAAGAGCGAGGGCGAGGAGGAGCCGTCGCCCCCGCCCCCACTCTCACCCACGCCGTCGCCCGCCCAGCACTACAGAGGCCGGGACACAGACACAGACAGAGACAGAGGCACTCTCGGGAGCCCTGAAGCACCGGCGACGCGAGATGGGGGCGACCAGTTGGGAGATGAGGCCGTTGAGGACGCCATCGTGGCTAGGGAGGGGCTGGGGGCAATGCGGCCACGGGGCGAGGCCGATGAGCGGTAGGCAGACACACACACGGCCAGTGGGTCATGCGCACGTGTGTGTGAGTGGTGGTGTGTGTGTGTGTGTGTGTGTGTAGGTATGAGCATCACCAGGAGGTGGCCAGGGCGTTTCAGAACTTCTGGCGGTGGGCGGCCGACGAGCTGTCCAGGCGAGGCGCCAACGACAGCGACGGTGTGGAGGGCCCCAAGACGCTGGAGGAGCAGATCGAGGAGGCGCGCCACGCCATCGCACACAAGAAGGACGCACTCAAATGCATGCTCACACAACTACATGTACGCCGACCGCTTCGCTTCGCACACACAGCACACCAACACCAACACCAACACGCACACACACAAATCTCTCTCTGTGTGTCATGGTGTCGGTGTGATTAGTCATTGCGTGGCGCCTCATCGTCGATTGACGAGGCCGAGATGGACCGCGACACCCGGCCGGGCAGCGACATGGACAAGATCAAACAGGCCGCCGGGCTCGAAATACTCCAAATGAGACTCGTAAGCACACCGACACCCTCTTTACCCTCTGCCCCTACCTCCCCAAACATGTGTGCGTGTGGCCACCCGTCCCGTCCGTGTGCAGAGGATGAATGCGTTGGTTTCACGAGTTGAGGAGCTGGCTCACGGCCGCCAGGAGGACAGTGACAACGCCGACATTGTCGAGAACCACAGGCGCATCAAGCGGCTCGAGGACGAGCTGAACACTATGCACCAGCAGATGGCCGAGAAAGAGAGGGTCAGTGCTGTGCTGTGCTGTTCTGGACACAGAATCGCGACTGTCACGTGTCTGTGTGTGTGTGTGTGTGTAGGAGGTTCGTGTGTTGAGTGAAGAGCTGAAGCGACTGCGTGAGACGGAAAGGGGCGAGATGAGCCCCTCTCGCGACCCTGCCCACAACCAGGCCCTCATCGATGACCAACAGAAGCAGATCCGGTGGAAGCCGTCCGTCTCACACACCAGCGAATCTCTAGAGACAAAGGCATGGATGCCTCTGTGTGTATCTGCGTGCATGGGCGTCATGTCAGTGACCTTCGCGAGTTGGTCCAGTCGATAACACGCAGCTCCAAGGAAGAGGTGGACCATCTCAGCGACGAGGCAAGCACCACGCCACACCACAGCCCCCCACACGCAGTCCTGACACAACCGCAGACACACACACACACACGTCGGCCTGTGTATTGTGTCCAGATTAAGCGCCTGATGTCGGAGTGTGCACCCCTTCGCGAGCGGCGCGACCACCTGGAGGGCCGGTGCGCTCAGCTGGAGGCGCAGTTGGAGCAGGCCCGAGACGACGCCCACCAAGCCCGCATCCAGATGAGGGAGCGGGAGCAGCAAATCGAAACCCTCAAGATGGAAAACGCTAGACTAGTGGTCAGTGTAAGTGTGTAAGAGGAGCCAGCTGTGGTGCATCTCTCTCTCTCTCTCTCTCTCTGTGTGTGTGTGTGTGTGTGTGTTGTCCTATGTGTGTGTCATGCAGACGTCGTTGAGCGAGGGTACGGTTGACGAGGGCACACGCACCGAGCTGGCCTGTCTGGAGGGCGCCAAGAGGGCGCTGGAGGAACAGCTTCAGGACAAGGAGGCTACCATACGGGTGAGCTGAGCTACTAACTGATGGGAAAGGGGCACCAACGAGAGATAAGTACTCATTCATGGTGACGTGTTGTGTCGTCTTGTGTCGTGTGCAGGAGTTGGAGTCCGAGCGCGGTCGTCTGACCGAGGGCATGGCATCGCTCGAGAAGCAGCTCGCCACGCAGCAAGAACTCATCAACAGCGTATGCACCTCACAAGATCCACACCGCCTCTGTCCTGATTCATGTGTGTGTGTGTGTGTGTGTGAATGCATTCCGCAGACCCCCACACTGATGGAGGCCTGCACAAGCCCCCTGTCGAGCCAGTCGCCGCTGATGCAGCCGGACCAGCCACCGCGCCCCAGTTCGCCCACGTACGAGAATGAGCGTCTGCTGGCGATGGGGCGCATCGAGCGGCTGCAGGCGATGCTGCTGGAGAAGGAGGAGAGGTACGGGGAGCTGCTGCTGCAGCTAAGGGCCGCTGAGGAGAGGGAGCAGGCACTGATGGACCAGATGGACAAGATGGGACAGGAGGTAGGTGGGTTGGCGAGGGAGCGTAAGCCGGCACTTACTTACTTCATCGGTCTCTGCCTGTCTGTCTGCCTGTGCGTGCAGATGTCAGGCATTGCTTCGGCGGGCGGCATGTTGGCCACTTTGGATGAGGACCTCACGGCCGTCGAAGGGTTCGCACCCGACCAGCAGATGAACGCTCAGCTCGCAGACGCCAAGCGAGAGGTACACCACGCACACACACACACATGCACCCACACCACAAGGGCAGGCCATGCTCACATCCTTTGATCCATCCCTCTATCTGTCATCAGGCGTCAGACGTGCAGCAGCAGCTGATGAGGCTCACACAGTTGCTCTCGGACCGTGACACCGAGATCGGCCGGCTCAACAACGCCCTCTCGGACAGGGCCACCCCACACCCAGCTACAGCCACAGCAGCCGCACCCTCACCGAAGCACGACATCACAGCCGCCCCACCACCAGCAGCAGCAGCACCAGCCGCTGCAGCAGCAGCCACGCCAGCAGCGGCACCGTATTCGACGTTCGCTCTGCGGCAGCCCGATGTGTCACCCCCTGGCCAGACGTCCCCTGACGTCAGCAGGCCCGTCCCCGCCCTATCCATGCCGTCACCCGCTGCTGGCGGGCTCGACACTGTGATGGATCACGCCAAGGCTGCCATGGTGTCAGTTCCCCCACCCCAGCAGCAGCACCAGCAGCAGCAGCAGCAACAGCAGGCGCCTATTGTCCCGCCGCAAGCACCGCCGTCTCCCCCTGCAAAGGGCGTGGAGGGTCTTTTTGACGACAGTGGCGAGAGGGGAGTCGACCTGTTCGGACCCGAAGTGACGCAGCGCAGCGCGCACGACGACCGGATGACAATGACAGCTGTCAACCCCCCACTGCAGCTATCGTCGCCGCCCGCAAGGCCTGGCGGAGTGGAGGCCCTCTTCGCTGAGCGGTCGGTAGAGGAGGCCTTCCCGGTCCCCCCACCCGTGCAGCAGCAAGTGCAGCAGGCCGCCGCGGCGCCCTTCCTGGTCGAGCAACAGGGCGGCTCGCCGGTCCTCAGCACCACCACTACTCCCGCGGCCATCACTGTAACGAGCCCTGAAGTGGCCGCTCAGCGACAGCAGGAGCCTGCAGCAGAGACGGCCGAGCAGAAACGCGCAACTGTGAGCGACTTCTTTGAGCCTGAGGGCGAGCGCGGTGGCGGCGCCAATGGGTGGATCGACATCGAGCCGGACGAGTTTGAGGGCTATCCACAGGGCGGGCACCTCGCCATCAGCCAGGGCGCCCTCAAGAGCGAATCGAGCTCCCCACCAGTCAACTTCACCATGTCGAGACCCACGCTGAGCGGCCTCAGCCCGCCGCTTCCGCCATCCGAGGTGACCGGCGAGGAGAGGGAGCCGGAGGGCGGAAGGGGCCAGGGAGGGCCGGGCATGACGCTTGCTGTGGAGGAGACCAGGGCCGAGGAGAGGGAGGTGGCGGCCCCGGCTGTCGTCACCCCGCCACCCCTGCCCCCGGCAATCGCTCAGATGTCTCCCGATCGCACTGTGGGTGACCTCTTCGGCGGACCCCCACCAGACCACGGCAAGGCAATCGGAGCGCCAGGCGATGAGGTGCCCGTGACGGCCATGGCGCCCCAGCCGAGCCTCCCTCTGCTGAACGGCACCACGGGGGTTGAAGGCGGCCACCCCGAGCAGACGGGCCAGGGGGAGAGGGAGAGGGCCAAGGTGGATGACCTGTTCGGCATGGAGGCCGGCGGTGAGGACATGGAGGCGTCAGGGTGGGACGTCGGCCACGACGAGTTCGCGCTCCCGGCGACCGACAAGCCTGCCTCGCCTGCAAAGGACATTGTCCGCGGTGCTGGCGAGGAGGAGGAGGGACCCCGTTCGCCCATCCCCAACAATCTGTTCGGTGACAACACGGGCGGCGTGTCCGATTGGCTGCAGGAGCTCGAGAGCGGCGGCAAAGGAAGCGCGGCAGCCAACAATGACGAGGAGGACTGGATGCATGGCGGGGGCGTCGGGGGCGGCTGGGATTTCAACATCGGCACGACATTCGGAAACGACCTCCAGCAGCACCAGCAGCAGCAGGACCAGCCCATGGCAGCGAGCCCCGTACTGTCCCCTCCCCCTCCGGCACAGCCAACCGCCACCACCATGGCCACCATGTGGGGCCAACACCCGCAGCCATCCGCTGCGATCCCTGCTCCCGCACCAGTGACCCATGCGGCCGTGCCCCAGCCGACGTCTGACATGGATTTCTTCGCATCGATGGGTCTGGTCAATGGTGAGGATTCGCGGCCGGCCTCGTCTCACCCATCGCCGCAGACGGTCCCGTGGGGGGCGCCCATGACGGCCAGCACAGGCAGCGAAAAGGGCAGTGGAGGCAAGAAGGACCTCGGCTCACTCTTCGGCTAGGAGAGAGAGGGGAGGGGAGAGGGCAGGCAGGCATGCATGCGAAAGGCTCCTGGCCTGGCCTGGCCTGCTGCCGATGGGTCTGTCTGTCTGTCCGTGTGTGTGCGTGTTGCGATTGGCCGGTGTGTGTCGTTCGTTTTGCATGTGTGGATGCTATGCATGCTGCATAGGTAGGGGCAGGCAGCGTTGGGTTGGGAGTCTGTCTGTCTGCGTGTGTGGATTGTTGGCTTGGCTTATTGATTGCTTGATGGTCTTCATCCCTGCCTGTCCGCCTGTCTGACTGCCTGCGGGCCTGCCTGCGGGCCTGCGTGTCGTCTCTCTCTAGCAGACACGTTTTCTTGGCTAACTCTCTGTCCGTCTGTCTGGCTGGCTGAGAATCTGAGTGCCTATCTGTCTGAGTGAGTGCTTATGAGTGGCTGGCGGATTTCAAGGAGGAGGTGAGGTGCTGCAAACGAAATGTCACATCGCATTTGAGCACAGCAAGCAGACAGACCAGACAGACCAGACAAGCCGAGCCAGGCGTCACTCGCTGCCAGTGAGGGTGTGCTCTCTCGGCATGGCCATGCACACACAGGATAGCGATGATATATAGCAATTCTGCTCGTCGGCTGGCGAGCGAGAGCGCTCTATGGTGAGAGAGAGAGGAGGAATTAAAGGAAGGATTCGTTGGGGCCTATTGGGTGGATGGACTGGTTGGTGGTCGGACAATCGACTTTTGCTTGAGAGACAGACATCGCTGCTGCGTGGAGGAAGGACTCTTCATGTGTGTGTCCGTATGTGTCTCCATCCCCCCGCTGGGTGAGGTGATTCAACCAAATATCCCAGAACAGCCAGCCTACATGGTAGCTGGCGGTACTAGGAACAAAGACCCCTCCCAACACACACACACACACGCAGCACAGGCAGCACACACAGTCAGCGGTGCAATCAGCTACTCACTCACTCACAGCAGCACAGCCACGTCGACATCAGTAAGAGCCAACCCAAACAAACCAAACCCCCAAAACGGACGCAGCTAAATACGAGACAGGCACGACACTGCCATTTCGACGATGCGAGAGAAAGAGACACGCAAACACACACACACGAATGAGCTTCTAGTCTAGCTATGGCTTGCCACTATTCTTCGTCTCCGTAGCCATTTCTGTGTGATGGTGTTGTTCGTCCATGATGTGAGTGCATTCACACGAAACACATCTCTGTACACGCACACATCCCCGCGACCCCACCCCCCCACCCCCACCCCACCCCACTGATTCGTGTGTCCTTGTGGCTAGACTGCCCTAATCGATGGCTCAGGTGACCTGCCACACCTCGATCGCATCCCACCCACCACGCACAAAGTGAGTGCGACCATCAACGGTCGATGACGGGCCGCTAAGAAAGGGCCTCTCTGTCCCACTGATAGCCAGCAACGCGTCAGAGTCGAAGGGTAGCGCCTGCCTCACACACAGGGTGTGCGAGACATTGTGGCCTCTGGACTGAGGCCGCACACTGATCTTGAACTCTCCGTAGGACACCCGCGAGACGCTGATAGTCGACTGCTGTGCTGTCATCTTGCTGACGGTGCCCCCCTCGACGTCAATCAGCTTGAACAGGAACGGGATGGCGGCCTGCGTAAGGGAGCGGTCGTAGACACTGTCGTAAGTAAGTAAAGTCATGTCACCCATCACACACACACGACACAAGACATGTGCGCTTGGCTGCCCACAGGCGTGGCGTGCCACACACTCACTGTTCGTAAGAGTCGTTGAGCCCTGGCGTGCATGTATTGAGCCCCTCTGGGCTGGCAGCGCCCAGGACCTCACCACTTTTCTGCAGCAGCACCACCTGCACACCACATGCAACGCAACAGACACATAGGCATGGCTCGCGTGGCGTGGTGTGGCGGTTGTACTGCTCACCCAGCCCTTCTGTTCCTCTGGAGGGGGGATGCTCGCCAGGAAGGCAGCGCCATCATACACACCCGATGAGCAACAACTAATGCCATGAGGAGCGAAAGAGCATCGTGCACCCTGCCAGTGATGTGTGGTTGTCGCCCACCCCATACACACCTGTATGTGCACTGTATGTCCTCTGCCGGCTTCTTCGACTCCTCCTCCAGCCACATGACCAGCCGGTTCATCTGCGATCGCCCTCCCAACAGCCCCATCTCCGCCCCCCCTCCCAAAGGCATCGACGGTGCAATGCGCTGCACACAGTCCTCACGCGGCCCACACAATCCAAACATCTCGAGTGTCCGGCGCAGCTCGTGAGTGTCCGCCTCGGTGGCCGATGAGTGTTGCGGTGGCGAGATGGTGAGGGATTGGGAGGGGGTGAGTCGGTGTCGGCGGGCGAAGTTGATGACCTTACGGACGATCGCAGGCGACGTGGCGTCTAACGAGCCCCTGCGAGGGAGGCGGGGAGGGAAAGAGGGAGCATACATGTTGAGAACAGCTCGTCTATGTTAGGCGATCTCTTACCCATCAAAGCGATTTGCGAACTGCGAGTTGTCTCCTCCACACGCCTCCACAGTGGCCGTGGTCGTGCTCAGCGTCATCCCGATCACACGCAAACTCCTGACCTCCACCCCAACACCCGTAGACGGCTGAAGCCAGGGCTCGGCCAGCCTCAGACGCTCCCTCAGCTCTTGTGTGACGCTCTTGACTGCATCCGTCTGCGCGTCAATGGCCGCGTGCTCCTTGGCATAGCCGATGGACAGTGACTTGACGGCTTCCATGACAGCGGCATGTGACGGCACGGCGTAATGCATCTGGCGCGGCAGCACTGGTGCATGCATGTGTGGGGGAGGGGGGCCGGGGGAGGGGTTCACGGTGGGTAAGGGCTTGTTGAGAAGCATGTCTACAAACAAGGCCTCGTCCACATCAGGGGCACCACTGCTGCTGCTGCTGCTGCCGTCGTATGTTGAGAGGGCGTGGATGATCTTGTCAAATATAAGATTGTCGAGGTCCAGAAATATGCGGTTGGAGTCGTCGTGGCACCGGACGAGCCGCCCATCGATGTGACCGCTGAAGATGAAGGCCAACAAGCTGTCGGCCTTCTTGGTCAGCCACCCGCGGGAAACCTCATACGGCGCCCCGCCCACCGACAGGTGCAGCCTCTCATCAGCGCGACCAACGGCGGTCTCCTGCCACCCACTCTCACTCAGCAGCTGCTGCTTGGCGCTTTGCAGCTCGTCGAGCACTCGCTGCTTAGCTGCGAGGGCTCGCCCGGCATCTTCGACGGCGGCAGTGAAAGACTGGATGGCACGCTCCGCGAATGCTGGGCGTGACGCGGCCGAGGGAAGCTGCTGGCCAGCACTGTTACCGTCAGACTTCGACCCCGCCACAGACACATCCCTGATGGATGCTCACACGACGAAAGAACACCATCACGTCTTAACGCTCCTCCCTGTTGACTGTCTGGGCTCCGCTCACCTGATGACCTCCCTGCCCAGCATGAGCACTGCCTGCCCGTGTGAGCTCAGGTACTCTTCGATAGTGGTGACTATGTCGTCGTGGGCCTGCGAGAGGCCGCTGACTATCTCCTGCAGGCGATTCCGTTGCTGCGCCAGCTCACGGATCACACGCAGAACGATGCTTGCGTGGGCGGCGCTTGTCCGACCTGAGCAAACACACCCACACCCACCCACCCACTCACCCATCCACACGCACACATGAGGATAGGCACAGACACAACGGTAGTTGCTGACCGGCCCTGAGCAGGCTTGGCAACATCTCTGGCCACCCCTGGGGGAACTCGCGCAACGCCACCTCAGACAAGGCGCTCGCACACGCCTGCTGCACACTGGGGGAGGTGAAATGGCCGGCGGGCAACTGAAGGTAGGAGAGCAGCTTCTCTTTGAGCTCACGGGTGTTCTTCTGCTCGGTGATCCATTTCTGCCACTGCTTGCGGATGGCCTCGCGGAAGAGCGTATACCCGAAGCACCGCACTTGATGGACCAGGACGGCGTCGAGCTGCCAGCCGTCGTGCGTGACGAGTCGGTCGGCAATCCCGCAGGCATTCGGGTGCTCATATAAGGCCGTGCACTGCTGTTCGGCCGCCACTCGGTCAGCATGAGACACATTCGGCTGCCCGGAGACCCTCAGCGCTTCGATGACCGACCGCGCGATATCATCCATGGTGCCAGCAGTTGGATGAGATCGGCGTGAGGCGAGATCAGGGAGCTGGATGCAGGCAAGGCCAGATACGTGGCCAGATCTCATCCCTCACCGCCGAGTGGTCGTTGATCGGGGTCTCCCTGGTGTGTTTGTGGCCATATGGCATAGCTGTTGCTGGGGAGCTGTTGTTCACCAGATGCGCTGGTGCCGTGCTTCTGTGAAAGCCAACGAGCTCACGGATTGCAGAGACCGCAGAGAGCTGTCTTGCAGAAAGGAGCAAGGTTGTGCAGCGTCGAGGGGCGGCTGGGGCGCGGTCTTGTGCTTGCTGCGCCTCAGATCGATGAGTTGACTGACAAACATCATCGCCTCCGTCCGTTCTGAGGTGCGCCAGGCAGAGAGAGAGAGGGTGGATTGACCATCGGTGCCGCCCTCACGTGGTGTGCGTGTTTGTGCGTCAAATAGCGGCCTCAGAGAAGGTTTTGGCAGAGAGAGACCGAGCCGGTGAATCAGATCTACACTACAGAGAGAGACCGAGCCGGTGAATCAGATCTACACTACAGCCATCATGGAGGGCGGTGGACAGGTGAGGCGCATCACAGCGCCGCTTGCAATGGGTGGCGCATCTCACCAAACCGGTGTTGACTGTGTTGTTGTGAGTGTCTGGGTGCAGAGCAGAAGCTCTCGCCGTGATGACGCGCCGGCTGCTGCTGCGGCTGCTGGTGTTGCTGGTGGTGGTGACGAGGAGCGGCAGCGTCGGGCTGAGAGAGAAAGTCGCTTTTGCAAGAAGATCAGCGACACGGTGAGCACCCCAGACACGCAAAAAGGCGATTCCTGTCCACGGCTGCGCGCGTTTCAGGAGGGTCTTGTCAGCTACATGATGGCCTTCCTGCCCATCAACCTGATGGTGCAGCTGGCCAAGTCCGTCTGGCAGCACGGCGCGCCCGACCTCTCGGACGTCACCATCAGCGCAGCGACCGAGGAGGAGCGGTCCTTTTGGCAACACGTCCACCTCGCCTTCGTCAACGAGCTGGCCGCCCGACTCACCCACCTCACGTCAATCACTCTGCGGTACCCTGACTGGTTCCCCTGCTGGTGTTTCGACGTGTTTGTGGCCATGATCGAGGGCCACATTGCCGGCCGACGTGCAGCCAACATGCAGGGAGGGACCCTGCACACCATCACCATCGAACAGGGGGCTCGGCTGACCGGCACAGCACGGCAGACCGTCGCAAGGACTCATCCCCCCCTCCCACCCCCTCCCACCCCGGCCCCGACCCTCAATGCACTCACCACCATTAGCGGCCTGACGAGGGACCATCAGGGGCTGGCCGACCGACGCTGGGAGATGCCCTCACTCGCCTTCGTGGAGCAGGAGGAGTGGGACAGCTGAAGGCTGGCCCCATTCATCAGCTCGTCCCGATCCCTGCGGCGTGTGGACGGCAGATGGGGCTAATGGGTGGTTGGAGGTGTTTGAGTACATGGCTGAAGACGTATTTGAGCACACCCCTGAGGCACTGGGTGGGCAGCAGGGGGGGCCACTCGCTAGGCTGGAGGACATCGGCACCATCGCATTCGTCGAAATCTCTCAGGCGCGCGTCAGCTCGCTTCAGGTGCCCACAAAGGACAGGACAGTAGTAGCGGCTGTGTGGGTTGGCTCATGATGTCCTCCTTGGATGTGTGTGTTCTTGTCGCATTCAGGCAGTGCTCGTTGAGCTTGGCTGCCGACGGTCGCTCAGGCAGCTACACGTGGACTCCAGCTATTTCACCTTCAGCCGCCCTGGCGGCCCTGGACCGGCTCGTCGGCACGTGCTGTCGACCAAACGCCCCAATCATACTTGATGAATTAACGACCGCCGACGGCGGTTGGGAGTTCGACCTGTCCATCTTCGACCATCCCGAGTTCCCCTCCCACCCATCGCCCGGATTCGAGACCATGATTCAGCAGATGGCACGGGAAGCCGACGGGTTGCAGTACATCTTCACTCAGCAGGGCCTCACAGACCCGCACACCAGCCCTAGCCCATCGGCCATCGAGATCGCATCCATATTGTCATTCGACAATCTGCGTGGTTCGGTGGAGGTCAAAAACGATTGGCCTGACTTCAATCCCCCGGCCAACACCCCGTCGCCCCACCCCGCCATCATCAGCCATCTGCAGCCCTTCCCAAGCCATGCGGATCGCCTTAGCCTGGAGGTCTCCAGCAACCTGGGCGGTCCTGCCGGGCGGCTGCTGGCCGCCAAGATGCCCAAGAAGGTGGGGCGGGTGGACATCGGAAGGATATCGTCTGAGGAGAAGGTGGGCGTGTTGACGGCGCTGGGGAGGGAGAGAGAGGTGAATTTGGTGGTGGGGCTGGCGCAAGTAGATGTCGATCAGCTGGTGGAGGCGGCAGACGGGTTGCCGATGATCAAGACACTAGCTTTTACCATGACACGTACGCCAACAGAAAGGCCATTTGTGTCCTCCCGTCCTCAGTGGTGCCTTCTGTGTGTTAACCTCCAGTGCCCGATGATGGGCAGTCTGCGGCCAGCGCCGTCCACAACCGCCTCTTATCGCTGATCCCGCGCATCAGGGGCCTGCAGTATGTGACGCTCACGGTCCCCAGCACGACAGCTGAGCAACATGATTCCATCAACTCCTCCCTCCCTGTGGGAACCAACATCGAGGGCTTGAGCATCACCGGCGTCGGCCATGACAGGGGGGACACGTGTGTGGAAATGGCTGCACCTTCCGATGCCTGAAGGTGAGAGAATGGCACTCATTCATAAGAAGGGCTGATTCTGTGACCGTGTTAATGTCTGCCCTCTATGTTTTGGTGTTGGTGGTGTTTGTCAGGCTGGCCAGTTGTGTGTGTGTTGACAAGTGACTGACTGACTAACTGACTGACTGGGTGGGTGGCTGGACAGATTTGGCGGACGGGGAGCTTCAATGCAAGCCAAATGCGCTTGGTACTCACCTCTTTCTTTCGGATCTTCGTTTGCCGGTGGCCGACCATTTGTGTGATGCGTGTGTTGCTTTGGCAGACATTTATGTCGTTATGCCGTCTTCGCTGTGTTATTGCCATACCTTATCCCTCGCCCCCCTCCCCCCTGTCGACCGACCCGACCCACAGCGGCGGCAATCCGCCCGCCCGTCGAGACAGTGACGTGTCGGTCGGTTTAGGTGGTCGGGGGAGGGCGGGGGAGAGGGGCAGGACAGGACCATCGAGGCGGCCGGCCTGCATCGGTCATCGTTTGATTTTTTGGTCAAATGCTGGTTTGGTGCTGCTGAAGTGGCCAGACACAGATTGAGCATCAGCGGCAGAGTCTCCACACACACACACACACGCACAAGACATAAGAACGGCCAGAAACAGGTAACCCTTGACTCACTGCATGCGCAGTCCCCTGCATCGCTGTGTCAAGGGTCACACCATCCATCCCCTCCCTCCCTCCCTCCCTACATTAACCCCACCCACTATCACACCACCCTAGGCAGCAGCTTGTTCTCGATCCCAATCCACACCTCTGCACACACACAGAGACAGACAGACAGACAGACAGCACTGGAGTGTGAGGTCTGGTGGGAAGGGGCTCGTTGAGAAGCATGTCGCAGAACAAGGCCTCAGCCACATATATCACGGTCACCCCCTCAATACATCCCGAAGCCCCCAGGGTATGTCCTCTTCTTCAATGACTCCCTTTTCCCACAGCGTCTTGACCAAGTGCTCCACCTTCTCCGCTGTGTCAGGCAGCTCCTCCAGTTCTCCCATCAGCCACTCGAGAGAGTGACAAAACCTCTTTCGGAGCAGTGGATTCCGCGCCTGCGTGTCCACGATGCGGTCCTTTATCTCAGATAGCTCCGCCGCTCCTTCCTTCATCTCACGTAGCTCCTTGACCTCCTCCCTCTTCGCGGTTCATCATCTTTGATCCCTTCCCTTCGCTCAAGTGAAGAAGGCAGATCGTCCTCATCAAGCACTCCCTTCTTCACCAAAGCGGCGGAAAGTCCGCAGCAGCAGTGGCGGTCTGCACGTTTGCCGCCGTTTCCTCCAGCCGCTCCTTCAGCTTCTTGACTTGCTTCGTGAGCCGTTGCACTTGCTCCCTCAGCTGAGTGTCATCACTGGCCCCACTGCGGCGGGCCGTGGCGCAGATTGGCCTCATTCGGGTGAGCAGCAGACGATTGTCGGGGACGAAGGCATTGGCGAAGGAGATGCCATTGGCTGCAAGAAGCGCCAGAAGTGAGACGACGAGATGGGCCGTCTTCCTCCGCTGATCCATGATTCCCGACAGATGACTTCGCCCGATCTCGATAGTTGACGAGTCGTAGCGCCAAGGGACGCTGCGAAAGCGCCAGGAATCGGGGGATCCCTTCGCAGCTCGCCCACCTGCGAGCTTCCAAGCTCGCAAATCTCGAATCCCGTTGATTTTGCCTCCTGTCGTCCCTTGGACGGCGCTCAGCCGACATCTGTCCTTTCTGTGGGCACAAATCGTGAGGAGAGTGGTGTTGGTTTCGGAAGGAGGCCTGCCGGTGTCCTCTTGCGGCGATGTCTGGCTCGACATCGTCGTTGACGCCCGAGTGTGGCGCTCGTAGCGAGCGGGGCGGGTGTCTTGACGGCGGTGGTGGTGGGGCCACTCCGATGCACTGCCTGGACGCGCTGTTCAACGAGCTGACGTGTATCCTCTACAACCGGAACGACCCCCAGAGGCTCAACAAGTGCCAGAGGGTACTCGAGAGCTACAGGGGCACAGGTCAGTCAGCTCGACACACACAACACACACAGCACAACGACAGACAGACACGGTTGTCTTTGGTGTCTTGTGCCGTGTGTGCAGACTGGATACTGCACAGCACCATCCCGGAGATCAAGGGCTTCCAAATCTATGGCTACAGCCGGTAAGAACGACACAAAGACAGACAACCGCAACACAACACCGCCCTCACAGCGCCACGTGTCTACTCTGCTTACTCGCCTCGCTCTCTGTCTTGCGTGTGTGTGTTGTGTTGTCCAACAGTGCGCAAGTGCGTTCGCAGCCCGATTTGTTTTCTCTGTTGATCCTGACGTGGTCGCCCAAGTCGCGGAGTGCCATCCACAACCACCCGTGCGAGCGGTGCTTCCTCATGCCACTCCAGGGCGACCTCAGCGAAGTCAGATACTCAGTGGTCGAAGAAGGACCTGACCAGAGGTCGGTGGGCAACACGGCTCCCTCCCTCCCTCCCTCCCTGCGCACACACACACAGGGATGGGCGTGTCGTGTGCATATGGTCTCGTCTGGTGTGAGTCAGGGTGCGTGAGATTGGTCGTGACCGCATTCCGCAGAACAAGGCTTGCTGGATCGACGACTCGCACGGATGGTACGTCGTCATGGAGTGAGATGCAGACAGACAGACAGACAGACGGAATCGTGTGTATGTGTGTTGACACGCAGGCACGCTATAGTCAACGACAGCCATGGCCTGTCGGTGTCGCTGCACCTCTACATCCCCTCGTTCACCAAGTGAGTGACAACCACACGCACACACACACACACACACACAGCTTGGTCATGTGTTGGTTGGCCTGTGTGTGTTCAGGTGCAAGATTGTTGACCCGTCGTCGCACAGCATCCGCTGGGTGAACTGCTTCCCCACACAGACGTCGAGGTTCCAACCACTGCACGAACGGTCAGCAAAGAGAGAGAGAGAGAGAGAGAGCCACCAGCCAGCCAGCCAGCCAGACAGGTGGCAATCTGCTGATGTTGGCCGTGTTTGTGTGTGCACGTCTGGTCTGCAGTGTGTTTGACACGGCGCGCAACTACCTGAAGAGCCTCGACTGCCCCGCCAGCCGCCCCGTCATCAAACTCAGGACCAAGTGCGACATCGAAGAGATATTCAATGAGAAGTAAGCAAAGAACTTAACTTACGTCACCTCACCGATTGATTGATTGATGCACCAAAGATCGGATGGATGGATGGATGGACGTGTGTGTGTTTGTGTGAAGGTGTTCGTTGGAGTTTTCTGACAATGCGGCCCCGATGGACGACGACTCCATTCTCGCTGCCGTCCAGAACACCTGCGACTTCTCCACAAATACCGGTGGGTGTGTCAGGCAGCTGAGCTCAGCTGCCATCCCATGCAGACACAGCAGACAGAAACCAAACCCACACAGGGCAGATGGATGGTCCATATATCGCTGGCTGGTTGCTTGCGTGTATCATGATTATCGATCAGGTCACTTGTACTTCTTCAACCAGCTGTTTGCCCGTGCTGACCCGCTGGCCGTGGCGGCCGACTGCCTCTCCAACTGCCTCAACGCAAACCTCCTCACCTTCGAGGTAATATGTACCAACCACGGCACGGCAGGCACCCTCTCATCGTGATGTCCCTCCCCTTGTCAGATGGCCCCCGTGTTTCTGCTGATGGAGAAGCGGCTGCTGCAGCACATGGCGTCATTCCTCGGCTGGTACACCCATTTCGACCCCAACTCGCAAGACAACGACACGCCGCAGGAGTTCTCACTCTGCGGCGACCGACGGGCGCCCTCACCGGCAGAGCAGCCCACGGCGGCGTCGACCACCGACGAGTCGGCGCCCAACCTGCTCCCGCCCCCTGCAGACACCTCCAGCAAGCTCAGCGAGGCCTCCACCGACGCATCGCAGTCGCCACGGCTCGATGCCCAGAACCACCCTCCGTCGACTCGGTGCAGTGCCGGCACAGGGGAGAGGGAGCGGTGTGGGCATGTGGGCGATGTGAGCCGTGAGGTGGTGCCGAGTGTGCTGGTGGATCGGCTGCGTCGGTCGGATCGGAAGCTGTCGGCGCCCTTTGAGACGTTTGACGGGCTGCTGAATCCAGGGGGGGCGATATCGAACGTCATGGCCCTCAACGTCGCCAGGCACCACATCGTGCCCGAGGTCAAAGTGAAGGGGGTGTACGGCACGCCCCCACTCGTCATATTCACCTCCGAGCAGGTACGCGAGCGCACACACATTCCCACCCACTCAGGCGCTCTCACCTCATCGACGTGTGTGTGCGTGTGTGTGTGGATCAGGGCCACGAGTCGATCGAGAAGGCCACAGCGCTGCTGGGTCTCGGCGTGGAGAACGTGGTGCACGTGCCGGTGTTGCCGTCGACCAACGCCATGGACCCCCAGGCCCTCGCCCACGCCGTGCAGCAGGCGGCCGACGCCGGCAAGCGCCCCTTCTTCGTCAACTGCACGGCCGCCACGACGGTTGCGGGCGCGTTTGACCCGTTCGAGGCCATTCGAGACGTGTGTGACGAGTGGGGCATGTGGATGCACGTCGACGGGGCCGTGGGGGCGTCCTTCCTGCTGCCCCAGGAGGAATACTATAAGAAGCTCTGCAGGTGAGGGACTGGAAGGGAGGTGTATGTGGAGAGAGGAGAGGTGGCAGGCAAGGCACGTATCTATCGCATTTCGTTGTTGGTGCCGTTGCATCAGGGGCATGGATCGCGCCGACTCTGTGAGCTGGAATCTGCACAAGCTCCTCGGGGTGCCACTGCAGTGCTCCGCACTGCTCACCAGACACCCTGGTACCGTTCGCACCCCCCACCACGCACACACACAGAGACTCTCACCGACACACGCACACCGTGCTTTGTGTGTCGTCCGTTACGTCTTTCAGGTTTGCTGTCGCGCACGCACAGCACGGTGGCGTGTCCGAATCTGTTCAGCCACATCGACACGCCCCTGTGCGACCTCGACTCGTGCTGCTCCACCTTCCAGTACGGCAGGCGGGCCGACGCATTTAAAGCCTGGTGCCTCTGGAAAAAGGTAATGAGTACCTTCACACGCACACACGCACACACACGCGAGGCACACCTCACCCGCTACTGTGGTGTGTGAATGATCTGGCTTGGCTGGTGTGGGTGTCTGGCTGTTTGTTGTGTGGTCAGTTGGGTGACCAGGGAATGGCTAATCGCATTCGGCTGGTCTACACCCACACGATGGAGCTGGCCGAGCTCATCCGGACGTTCCCCAAGAAGTTCTCTTGCCCTGGTACACACACACACACACACACACACACACAGAGGCAATCGTCGAACAAGGAGTGTGTGTGGTGTGTGGTGTGTGCCACCGGGCAGGTCGTGGTGTGAATCTGCCGACCGAGGTGGAAGTTGAGGAGTCGGTGCCCACCGGCATGCCCAGTGACATCAACCAGGATGCATTCCACCTGGTATGGGAGCCGGTGAGCTGCAACTGCTGCTTCTGGTGGGTGCCTTACGACCTGCGTAAGCCGTTCGCCCAGCACGGCTGGCAGCACCCCCTCCTGCACGAGCACCTCATACACGTCGCACCCGCCATGAAGAGGCAAATGCTCACAGAGGGATCCATCATGGTACTCACACACACACATGGGCAGGCAGGCAGGCAGGAACATACCCAGTCGGTGTGTGTGTGTGTGTCGGTGTGAGCACAGGTCGACTACCACACGTTGGCCGGGCGTCCCTTCTTCTGGCGTCTGCCTTTGGTCAACCCCGACATCTGCCGTGACGACATCTTCAACGTCCTCAGGATCATCAACCGGATCGGTTAGCACACAAACAAAAGCCACACACACCACACCACACCACACCACACACGTCGCCAGGTGCATCAAACCCAACACTCTCTCGGTCTCTCTCTCTCCCTCCCCGTGACCATCTCAGGCACCTCTTGTTTTCCGCCCGGCTCTTACGCCGTGTCTGTGAGTGAGGCCGATCTGTCCATCGAGGGCGGCCCCATGTGGCAGACCACCATCAACGACGGCGACAGCTCCTCCTGCTCGAGGTCCTCTGCACGCCGTGTGGCGAGCTTCCCCGGCCCCGAGATGGCGCACGCGGAGGAGATCCGGGAGAGCACTGCAGCCCTCCCCTCCATATGCACATTCTGACTGACCGATGGCCGGGTGCGGCTGGTGGCGTGAATGAATGTTTATATTTTTTCGCCA